AGTTAAGAGAGAAAGACAATATTTAGATGAAGTATTGAGGGATATCATAATCTTAGGTCTTGTAATCACTAGAAGTTACTAAAATAATTTTGCTAATATATTTTAGATTAGTTTTAGTTATTAGTTTATTAGTTTTAATTTTAATTTTAATTGTTTAGATAAAATTAAGGCATATTAAATTTAGTAGTTACCAATTAGGAATTAATTCAATTCTCTATGGGATCAATACTTTACTCACCACTATATTATCTTTGCAATACGTATACTTGCATGAGTAGAAAATTGAACAACACTTGCCATCCATGGGAATAAAATCAAACGCTATATCTTTTGTCACAAAATTGATTGATGCTTAATAAATTATGCTTTAAACTTTTAACAAGTAGAACATACTTGATTTGAGTTTAAGAACTGTTACTAATGGTTTCAATTCCTTAGATAATACCTTTGGGATCATCTCCAAAAGAGACACTTTCACTTTTATTTCTATCAAGTTTGGCAAACAGTCTTATATTTCCAGTCATATGTCTTAAGAAGCCACTGTCTATGTACCAAGGCTACCTTTCCTTTGGTTGAGCTTTAAAACATTGATGTTTTTGCCCTTACTCAACCTACAGGATAGAATTTTAGTTTATCTTAAAGGTACTCATACCTTGATGGATCCTTGAAGGTTAGTAGTAATATGTGATCCTTTTGGCACCCATTCCAATTTAGTTTTAGGAAAATTGCTTCCCTTATTATAACAATCATAAGAGAGGTGACTTTTTTTCCTACATACACAGCAATGACATAAAGATGCATAATTTTTCTTTCCTAAAATAACACTTTTCTATGATTTTTCTTTTCTAATCAAATTTAGCTTTGAGTTCTTATCTATTAAAGCTTTAAAAGTAACATTTTCATCCAATGCCTTTTGCAAGGCTTCATTTTTACTCTTAATTCCAATTTCAAGAGTTCAAAATCTGTTTTTGAATGCTCAAGTTCAATTTGAAACATATTCCTTTGATCAAAAATAGAGTTGAAGTCATGCTTAATTTTCTCCAATTCATCATTTAATGCAAGGGCTTTCTTTATCATAACTTTTTATTTCAAAGCAAGTTTTTCAAATTCAACATATAGACAATCATACTCATATTGAACATCATCATGTGGAATATCAGATAAATTAGATGTTACCTCGAGTTCTTCATCTTTGGCCATCAAATAGAAATTTGATCTTTCTTCCATTTTTTCTTTTTTATCTACTGAATTAGAGCAATCATTATCTGTCCAAGTTGCAGCTAACATTGCTTTCTTTGGCTTCTTATTTTTTTTTAGAAGATTCCTCATTGAGTAATGGACATTTAGATCTGAAATGGCTTGGTTTCTTGCATTCAAAATAGGTTACTTCTTCTTTCTTATTAGAATCAATCTTGTTCTTATTTTTCCATGAAGAACCTTAATCTCTTTTAAAGTTTTTTCTTCCAAACCTTCTATCTCTTTATCCCATAAGCTTTTTCAACTTTCTAGTTATCATGGCCAATTCTTCATCTTTATCACTAGAAACAATTTCAAATCCTTCTTTTAATGTGTTTACTTTCAAGGCAAAACTCCTTTTATTCTCCTTAGCTTCCCTTTTTTTTTTCCTTCTTCTTTCATCTCAAGCTCATGTGTGAGAAATGAATCACAAATTTCATAAAAAGTTATAGGATTGAGGTGTTTGGCTTCTTAGATAGCAATGACCTTGGGTTTCCAACTCTTTAATAGGCCACAAAAAAGTCTCTTTACTAGTATATGTTCAAAAATAGGTTTACCAATTTGATTGAGCTTGCTTGTAATGTTAGTGAACGTATCAAATATACTAGTAATATCCTCACTTGATTCCATTTTAAATATCTTTTAATTATGGATAAGAAGAGCAATTTTAGACTTCTTAACTTGAAAAGTCTCTTTTTGAATGACTCTATATTTTTTTGAAATTTCTTCGGTTATGGTGCAACTTGAAATTTTGTTGAACTCAATAGGGGTTAAGGCTTAATGAAGAATGTTAATAGCTTTGAAGTTTATTTGAACTTTTCTCATATTTGCCTCAGTCCACTTTTCTGTAACCTTAGGTAACTTTTCACCTGTGATAAGATTCATACTAGTGGGAACATAAAGATATTGGATGATCACATCTCATGTCTTATAGTCTACAGCTTTAATATGAATGAATATCCTAATGCTCTAATACGGGTAATTTGATCTATCAAATAAAGGAGGCTTATTTGTATATTGTCCCTTAACAACACAAGATTTTTGCATGGTCATTGATCTCCTCTTAAAGATGTTAAACTTTTAAAGTCAGGAGTAAGGCTCTGATACCACTTATTGGCCCTAATGGAGTGGTAGAGGAGGGTGAATAGCAATTAAAGGATATCTTGAAATCACTCTTGAGCCTTAAAAATTTCTACATAATTTGAAATAGAAGGTTTAAAACTTGCTAAAGTTAAAAGGCACTAAGTAAAGAAAACATAAAGAGAAGTGCACAAACATAATTATTTATAGTCGTTCGGTTTCCTTAACCTACATCCACTACCTTAATTTTCAAATTAAGGATTTTCAATCCAACTTCACTAAACTAGTGGAATCAACAGCTTCCATCAAGTTTTTACAAAATAAGCTTCTAACCCAAGGTTCAAAACTCTTACAACAACCCTTAGAGTGTGCAAGGTAACTCTTACAACAGCCCTTAGAGTGTGCAACCTAAACCTTAACCTTGCACACTCTAATTAATCAAAAAATTAAAAAAACATGGAGTACAATTGATCATCTAGCTTATCTAAGATGTATAAATTTAAGCTCAAACATTTTGCAAAGGATAAAAATGAAAAACAAGTGCACAAGAGAAGGTTTTTCCTCTTTTTGACTCCCTCAAAATCTTTTGGAACTTCTCTATCGATTTTTTATTGTTGGAGATTCCTTTTATACTTAAAAAATCAATTCGAACATCTTGAGACAAAGACTAACCGTTACAAACAATTTTTGACTATTATTTTGTCCTTTTGTGCTTAAATTTAAAATCTACTGACAGTGTTCCTTTAACCTGTTAAAAACAGACTTTAATTGATTATGCCTTTGACAGTTAAAATTCTACTTATGCAAGATATGTATCAAACAAATAGTATATTAGTAAATAGAATATCGATCCTTCAGAGAATTATTCTAAAAATTTATTAAGTATTAAAATTAAAACAATTTAACTTTATTCAAACAATCAAAATTTGGATAATTAAATTAACTAAAAGTTAATCAACAAAATCTAAACTAATTAAACAAAATAAAAATCAAAGCAAAAAGAAAATTGAATAAAAATCAAATTGGAAAAACCTAAGATCACAATATCCCTCACACTTCATATAAATCTTACTTCTTTCTTAACTTATTTCATTAGATTGAATTGATAACCTAAAGTTCTCAATTATTTATAATAGTCTCCCAAGTCTCTTATAAAAATATCTACTTTAACAAAAACACTATATTATTATGTGACTTGAAATTAAAATAGGCTCATTAAGTTCAGACTCTAATACTAGCTACATACAACATATAAGTATACTCCTATCATATACTTAAATCAATTTATTCATCTAGTGAAATAAATATGATGATATGTTATTCCAATTTTAGTATACACTAAACTTCTTTTTCCAAGTTTGTTTAGATTGCTAGATCGATTTAATTGATGATCAGGCAATTAGAAGCATTTAGAATAAATTAAAATAAATAATTATATTTCGTTAAAAATAAGTTAGAAAGAAATTAAAAATTTAAACTACATGTGAGTTCAATTGTAATCTTAAAAAAATAAATTTAGCTAGATATAGTTGCAAAAGTAAATAAAAACTTATTTATTGTTTGTTATACTGCTTTGTTATGTTAACCAGTTAATTGCAACTTTAATTGATTAAAAACTTTTTGTTTTCAAGCAGCATTTTTCACTAGCCTTCTTTCAACTAAGTTGGCTTCTCTTTAACTAATTAAGGCATCACTCCTTTCAACCTTAACTGATTGAAGTAGGCTCCAATCGATTAGAAATTCTTCAACTTTGAATCTCATGGTTTGGTGCCTTTGAATGGTCAACAATATTTTAAATTTGAATTTTGGCTCTTCTTAACACTTCAACTTTAACCTTTAACTAGTTATCTCCTTTGCCTTAACCAATTAAAAGACTTCTATTTTATACTCATGTAGTGCCATGAATTGCCTTAACTATTAATACCTCATGTTAATCAGTTAATATTTTTTTGCTTTCACTTAGTCTTTAGTTTTTTTATTCCTTTAACTGATTAATCAATTTAGTAGTATGGTAGGTTTCTTAACTTGCTTTCACACAACATTTATACTAAGGAATTTAAATGTAGTCCTGTTTACTTAAATAAATTAATTAAACATTAATGAATAAAGAATATTTTGTTATTATAAAAAACATATGAAGTCAACAACCCTACGTCCCTTTGATAACCGTTTACACTTCCAAGTATCCAATCTAGCTTCTACACGCTCCTCCAACAGTCTTCATATTAGCAAAGAGCTTTGAGAAGCACCTAGAGGAAGCCTTAAATACATAGAAAGTAGATTTCCAATCTTACATTAAATACACGCCATCCATATTTCAAGATTAGAAAGACTGACTCTCAATCCAAATAAACTATTTTTGTGAAAATTAATTTTCAAACCAGACACCATCTAAAAACATCTCAGGATCCTTTTAATGTATTGAATTAGATTTATTTAATAAATAACATAAATTTAGGAATTATTCTAGGTGTCACAAAAATAAACTATCCATATAAGCTTTATCCAACCCATTTGCATTTCTAAGAAATTAGAAACTTTTAAGGAGAATCAACCTACGGTCTTATTACCTAGGATTAAAATATCAAACATAGAAAGATGAATTTTATCCTTTATACAAACTAGTCAGTTACTAAAATGTTCGAAAATTTACCAGTAACAATTCATGTCAAGTGGACATAATATAGAAGAAACCTATATGCACATTTATTAAAATCTCTTTGCTAGTTACAAACTTCTCTACTTGAAACTGCCCTTGAAAAACCACTTGAGAAAAGAATTTTAAGCAAATTACTTTATGCTACAAATTTGTATCTGCAGATCACCTTACACCTTAAAACCCTTCCCTGAACATAAAATCCTGGCATCACCATGATCTTAACCCGGCTTGGTCCATGCGGCCTTTGCCTTTCCATGAACATATCTTCCATGTAATGTGGATCGAAGGTTCTATTTTCTTCAACCCGTAGAATTCCCAATGGTGGATTGAAAGAGAAAGCAAGCAAATGAAGCAACCATATGCATTTAGCAGCAACAAAGAAAGCTTGAAGCAGCTGTTCTGGCCATGGTCGAGTCCAATTCAGCGTTGTAATGATTAAACTCATCTTCTGATCACAGAACTTGCTAAATTCTTCGCTATAATATTTAGTTCCCTTCCTTAGCACTTCATTCCAGCTTAGATTTCTAAGCGCAACAAATGATGTAAATTGAGCCTGGCGATCCTGTTGAGGGTCCAAGAGCTTTGGTGACCCATTCTTCTGAAATACACAATTCTCAAAATCTTGGTAGAGTGACTGGTTTATTATTGCTTCCAAATGGTATAACACTGCCTTAGAGTACTTTGAATTCAATGAAAGTTTATATGGTTGAAGAAGCAGATTCAAGTTGTCCATTAAAGTATTGTCAGTCTGTTCAATATGTCCAACAAGTGTCTTGCAGAACTGTTTCACTGACAATCTTGCTTCTGATACTATCTGCAAGAAACCCTCTACCATTACCTCCTCACTGACAGGCATCACGTTTTCACCATTCCCATCAATGGATTTCCCTCTCCTAGGAAAATTTCCAAGCTTTTCATTGATTTGAGAATCCTTTGTTTGTGTTGCTTGCCTTAAGGCTTTCTTGAGCTCTTCACAATAGGTTTCTAAATACTCCAGCTTCTGCTTGAGCTCTCCTAATGAAGATCTCATGTCAGCAACTTCCGTTAAGGCCGCATCTCTATTCTCATTTGCTTCTATCAGCTCTCTCTTCAATGTTTCAATTGACAACATGCCGAAGTCCTTGAATATTTGTGAAACTTCCTCGGATTCTGTTCGGTTAGGAGAATTCTCATTCTTCTGTTTCTTCTTTAACCGAGGGAAAAACCACGACATCACCCCTCGATTCTTCAGTTGTGATTGAACAGACGAATGAGAATCTGTTAGTGGCACCACAGTATTAGAATTCTTGATGTTCCTAATGACATTTTCAGATTCAGCTGTTATAACAGCAGGCTTGCATCTATTGCAAGATGATACAGATTTGAAATCCCCCAAACTGTTTCTCCTACTTCTACTTGACTTGTAAAATTCTGCTCCTGGTGATGTTTGTAGGACAGTGATGTGGTTTGCGCAAGAACCAGTAACAGATTTTTGATCTTCTGCAGGACAAACATGTGATTCTAAGGCAGCCAAAGCTGAAGAGAATCCTTTCCTCGAAGCTGAAATCTCCTTCTTATAATCTGATAAAACAGTTTCAGTGCCATTTCCTGCTTCCAGGCCATATTCATCCCAACTTTCAGATAATGCTTGGTTATTTGTATGGTAGCCAGATAATGTTTCATCTTCATAACTCTGTCAAACAGTCCCAAAGAGTGAGTGAGGTTAACCACTGACAGTGCACTGGAACTCAAGCTGGGGATTTAAAGCATTCTAATATAAGAGGTAGAAGGCAAATTTATAAAAATAATTGCAACCTATAGAATTCCTGGTTATTCTTTTCCTAAATTCAATAAGTAAAAAAAGTTTGAACTCTACCCAAATAAGCTTAAAAAAATTTGTGTTAAGTAATCAGAGATTAAAATTATAGCCAGGAATTTAGAATAAATACAAATGCAAATGTACAATTAATTAAAGAAGAATATTGAGACTAATCCTCGTGAAAAAATATACCACTACTTTCCTAGACCTATTGTTTCATTGCTGTAGAGACTCAAGACCAGCAAGTGGGCAAAATTTTTCAAGAGGTTTTTACAGGGAAAAAAATTAACACGTTATAATCATCATTATAAAGTTAAGTAACTTAATTATATCATAAATCTCACTCATTCTTTTTCACATAGAATTCAGTAAACAAGGTAAACTACAATTAGATAGCAACAAAATGGGAACCTCATTTAACAAGAAACAGATACTTAATTCAAACAACTTACTAAAACTGATGAACAAAGCAGAGCAAAAGAAAAAGCAACATTAAAGACCCAAGAGATATGCTAACTCACGGGAGTAAAAACAGGGTAATCTTGAGCAGAGAACTGAGAAACAGGGCGTGAAACAGGGGAAGCAGAAGATGGGTATCTGAGATTTGCAGGGGCAGGGCTGTTTCCTTGCATCAAAGCCGCATGTAAGGCTCTAAGCTCCACAGCCTTGGCAATGGCAGCCTGTATCTCTTGCCTGCTAACTTCATTGTTGCTGCTATTGTTGTTATCACTTTGATGGCTTTCAAAGATTTGTGAAGCAGTAGCAGCCGCAGCCATGAACAGAGGATGAAACAGAGCAGCACATATACACCCAAAGAATACAACAAAGGAAAAATGATGAATTTTTGTTCTCTTTCTTTCTTTTTTCAATGAGAGGAAACAACAACAGAGAGGATTAGAAAGTAGGTTTTTAACGATTGGATTTGATTTGCAGAGTTGAAGATGATATCCAGCTTAGAATCTTGGAGAACCAGAAACTAGAGAGAGAGAGAGATGAATGTAGGGTATCTCAAATCCAATGTGCTTTTGTCTTTGTTCTCAATGAATAAATAGAATGACAGCATGTGAAGCAAAGAAAGAGAGTGGGGAGGGAGTAGTAGTTTTTACTCAATGTAGCAAGAATAGATGAGATTTGCAGTTTACCAAAATGCCCATAATTGTATCAAAATAATCACGATAGAATATAGAAAATGTTGGTACCACACATTGAGCATGATTACTTAAGTACCATACCACTATATAGTAGTAGTTTTCATGTGGTAGCATTGTCTCCATACTCCCCCTTTTTGTTGTAGTTTTTAATCCTTTCGTTGTCTAATCATCACCATTAATCATAATGGTGGGTTGCCTGCTAGGATGTATTTAGACCCACAAGGGTCGTTGATTAGACATGTGTTATTTAAATGACTACAACCTTTTTTAATTAAATTTTTTTTCTTGAAGAATATATTTAAAGCATGTTGATAATTAATAATGTATTATGTAATCTTTCTGATGTTACTATTAGTTTGGTTTTCTTTTTTTCTTTTTTAGGGTTTTGATATAATTGTTAGAATGTATGTTAAAGACCTTTATTATTTACAAATTTCTTTATCTGAATGAGAACACACAAGAAAATTAAGAAACATCATTTCAATGGTCAATAAAACACATGCCAAATAAGTTTTTTTCATTTCCTTGTTGGAAAGCAAAGCTTGTTGATGAATCTTTCCGGGCTGAAAAAGGGGGAGAAGCAGAAAGGAAATATAATACTGGTAGCACTCTAGACCCATCTTTGTGGAAGCAGCATCACATCTCCTTCACATCATGGATGCATTTGACATATGGAAGCTTTCTCATTGATTGCTATTTAGGAAAGTTGAGATTAGCTGTTCCAATGGAAATCATTTGCCATTTGAATCTTTGTTCTCTCTCAACCTTTCTACCTTTCTCCCATCTGCACTGAGGTTTTATAATATATATATATATATATATATATATATATATATATATGCTGTATATAGTTTTGCACAGACATTATTTGTACAAAGAAAGAGCAGTGAGCTTTGGGGGCAATTTAGTCTACTGAGGTGTCCAAATGCAGTTTTTGCCGAAAGGCGCACAGGTGGGGGACAGAAATATCCAATTCCCTCCAAGCACTCAATTGTCTTTCTCTTTTTTTACTTTAAAACAGTGAAATCTTGTGACGAGATAATGCCACACTGGGGACCAAACATGGCCTTCTCATAGTTGTTAAATTACAAAAAAAAAAAAATGAAAAACCATCTTCATACTAGATGCAAGAGTATAAATACTTATGGGGGTTAAATGGAGTATTTCAAGAAATCAAGGGTATCTTTGAAGAAATAAAAATAGTATTATATTGACTTTGGTTTAGGTTTTTTGTTTATTTGAAATGGAATTCCATTTAGGATAAAGGAAATATTTTATGTGGGAGTTCGTTGTTTCCCATAACCACTTTTTGCTTGAAAAGTAATTACTTAAATGAAATTAAAACTTTTAAGCCAACTACCCTCCCTGAAAGTAAGCTGGGTTTGTCAACCTCCACATGCAAAAAGCTTTCTACTTGTTTAATCAACAGTAATGCAACAATCATGTTATCGGATTACAGCTTAAAAGATCGATAGGGTTTTCTTTGTTTTGTTGGAAATTGTTAAGGTTTAGGCACTAAAATCTTGTTTTTGGACCTCTAATTGAGTGGTTGAGACATGTAAGTCTTCGAGACCTAACAGTTAGGTTTAGTTTGTTTTGACAATAATACTTTATGATATCTTGTTGGATGAGAAAACACACCCGATTGTAATAATGATAAAATTAATTAAGCCTCAATATTTATATCTATTCTTCCTAGTTATTAACCTTTCAGTTTATGCGGCTTTTCATGGTTTAGATCTTATGTTGAGCAACTGTTGATGATATGAGATTCTTATCCTTGATTTCAAGTCACCCACCTTTCCCATCATTACGGCTCTTTTATGAGTTGAGAGATCAAAAAGCGGGATTTCAAGCAATTAAAGTTTATGTGAGAGAGAGAGAGGTTATTCAAATGAGGTGTTCTTATTTTTGAAGCTTGTCCACAAAATTCAGCCACCTCGAGCATCGTAATCAAACAAGTACTTGTCCCTCGCACTTGAGCTTTGTTTTTAACTCATCAAAACATGATCAGAAGATTCTTAAAAGCACTTCATAAAGCCGAAACAATGTCAGCAAATTGATGTAAATATATATATATACACACTTATAGGTGACATAACTATACCATCTGCTTCTGCCTGTTCGATAAATAACCAACACAACGGCCCCGACCATGCATGCTTACCACTAAGATTTATTCAACCACGTAGGAATCACTTTTCTTTCCATGGCGTAACGCTCAAGCTAATACTTTGCATTATTTTCAAGTATATAACAATCTTGCCCTCTGAAGACCTCCTCCACCGTATAGATCTAAAGCAAAAACCAATTATCAAATCCATCCAATCCTTGGATATTTCTTTCCATGTCAATTGTTCTACGTCAGATTCATATGCCGTTGGTCCCATTATTAGATTAAGATTGTGTTAAATGGTTCTAAATGAAAACAAAACTAATTGCAGTGTGTGTAAATAATGTAAAGTTTATGAGGAAAAGTTTTTAATTTTTTTTGGGGTTCGTTATCACTTCCATTATATCATATTACGTGGTAAAAGTAAAAATAACCTTGCCTTTTTTTCTTTTTTATAAAAAAAAATCGATATATATCTTTTTATTTTAAATGTTAATTAATTAGGTGCAAGCCCCCAAGAAGTGTCCTGAATTAATCTGTGCATGACATCTTTTAATCTTCATAAATTTTAAGCAATTTCTAATCTTGAATTGGGCCCCATCGACCGTCATCCTATTTGGATTTCTGGCCACATGCATTTTCCCAGTCATTAATTATCAATGAACTAGCTACGAGCCTTTCCTGTAAACAACTCTCCATTGTTTGGCTACTTTAACATGCAACCTCTTTATCTCGACTTTAAAAGAGAATATATAAATTTACACGATTGTAGCCTTATGTTTGGGAAGATCTAGCCCAAACCCTTTCGTTTTCACTTCCAGCCTTGACTGAAAGAAACAAGAGAGGGTGGCTTTTGGGTGTCTCTGTCTTTGTACTCTAATAAAATACATCACTGAAAGGTCCCAACAGCATTGCAGAAAGTGTGCTTCTCTTTTCCTTGTGAAGCTAACAGAAGCGCTACACGCTTTGGTGAAATCTACCACTCACTTTCAATTTTTACATGCCTACAATTTTACTGCTGCCATGCCATGTTAAGCATCCTTCCAAAAGTAAAAGTAGAAAGAACAGATATTCCTGCAGGCTTCTGGCTGGAACACTTGGATTTTGTCCTGTTTTGTTTGTTGCATCTTGGTAAAATTGGATTCCGGCTCTTACGTATTTAATGACTAATTGGCTTCTCATCGTATATTAAAATCAAAGAATTAGATATGAAGTGTATTTTAGCAATCCATTAGCCTTGGTGTTAGGCTTTGGAGCTTGCATGGACCCTATTGACAAGTATTATTATAGTGTCATTAATAGATTCCATGGAAGTTTAGGCACAAGGTCCAACAGATTTGCTTGTTAAAGGCAAAAGGCCCATTCTCTCTTTCCTTTGAAAATTGTGATTCTTGGCAATTGTAGACCTCCCTCGGTGAAGACAACTGGATAATACAGAATACATTTGTTCATGGCTTCATGCCCATTACATCCACACAAAGGAGTATCAAGATTATTCCAATTTTGCAAAAGTTCTGTTCTCTTGCCTGCTAATTTACATTTATTTTTAACATTAATTAAATAGCCCTAGCCACTCTAATGATGGAAACCATCAGACATCTATTTTGCCGTCTATTGAAAATGATGGGCATTTACTTAAAAGCAAAAGCGTATTCCAATACCGTAACAGATACGAACTAAACGTGATTCAACACATCAACTGGTTTACATATATAGATATGAAAAAAGATTCATGAGTTATAAAAAATTACAAACAACATACAAATCAGCTTCAAACTCGACTCACATCCCCATCTCAATCAAACTCACGAGAATGCTACTACTCGGACTCACCAGATACAAACACTCATAAATTTAATCCCAAACACAAAAAGTTATACATATGAGCACTCTCGCTCCATCTCAACAAACTCTAACCATTTATCAAATATTCACTGTCAAGAGCACTATCCCTTAGTCTTATGTTGTGTCTACGCATCCATCCCTGTATACTCTACAAGTTTACTTAAAATCTTTTTCTCATACCTCATCCTATGGAGACTCTCCTTTATTTATAAGCCCACTAACTTGCACACTAAGAAACCCTTTCTTCTTTTTTTTTTCTTTTTTAAAGTAGAGAAGTCATTAATAAAAGTCCGAGTTGCTAAGAGTATTTGTCTTTTAGTACATCTTAACCAATTCAAGAAATACATCTATCAGTGCCATATATTACCATATGGCAACAACAAACCATAGGAGATATATGTTTGACACCGAACATCACATTTTATAGGAAAGTAGACCATCTTCAATTCCACTAATGATAGTCGAACTATGAAATGTTTCACTCAATTCCCTAATTGCTTGGGCATCCAAGTTAATTACTTTATATATTTCTACATGAATTTCCCTTGAAGTCATTTCTAACGGTGTCATTAATGAAGCACTTTGGGTCTTGGTTTCACCACGACCGTTGTTCTCAACGACCACATCCTCATGTAACAAGTGTTCTTGTCTATAAAGAAAACTTGATTATAAACAGAACTCCAAAAACAGTGTTAATGTTAGATTTGGCCTTGATTTTAGCACAATTTTTTACCCACAGACCGATAGGTAATTTGAAAAGACCACTCAGAAATTGCAAGATATGTTACATGCTTGTTCCGTTGATTTTGGAGTCACATGAGACTTAACACTTACCTTTAGTGGAATTTGCTTATAATAATAGTTTTCAGTTTAGTACATAGATGATGTCTTATGAGGCTTTATATGAGCTAAAGTATAAATC